TCTCTGTTAAAGAAGTTACTCAAACCTTCATTTGTCAATAAACTTATTTTTGTGAATACTTTCTACTTTTTCCTTTACAGAATGCACCTCCAAATCAGATATTCTTTTCATTGTCGACTCATCTGGCAGTGTTGGTGATGAAGATTTCCGTAAAGAGTTGGACTTTGTCTATCGTACAATTGATAGTCTTGATATTGACTCAGGACTGTACAATGTTGGCCTGATCAGTTTCAGTGACCAGGCTCGAATTGAATTCTACTTGAATTCTTACCTCAGCAAAGAAGAGCTTGAGAATGCGACTGCTTCTGTGAAGTATGTCTATGGATCAACTCACACTGCCATGGCATTCCGTGTTGCACGAGAAGCCATTTTTACTGAAGTTAATGGTGATAGACCAGGTTAGGAAATTTGTATTTTCCTTTTGCTTATGCCATTGTTTTTTTCATTGTCTCTTTCCATTTGAAGCATTGTCAATTACTTTCTTAAATAACTGTTTGGTGTAAAAAAAATGAAGTGGTTTGTTCAGGTTATTGCGCATAATCATTCAGTATAATTGCTGCATTTCAAACTATGTTGAATTGGGGAAGAAGGCAAATGATAAACCTCAAGAAAGATAAAACATTTAAAGAGTATATCAGATTAACAATTAGTGGCTGTTTGAAATTTTTAAAAAGTATTTTTCTTTAAATGGGAAGTAATTTTAAAATACCATTTTTAAAACTTTTTTTTCCTAACTGTAATAATTGCAAAAATAAAAACATAAATGATTTCAAGCTTTTCTTGAAAATGATAGGCAACACAATGGCTGAATAACAAAGTATTTCTGGGTATTCTAAAAGATTTTTCTTCAACTTTTTAAAGTTCTTCATTAGATCCTTACATTTTAAAATTAAAGATAATGATATTCCTTAGTGGCTTAGATGATTATTTCTCTCTCTCTCTCTCTCTCTGTTGTCCATGGTTAATGTCTGAGGCTTTTGAAGGCAAGCAAACCCTTTTTACTTTCAGTGAAATTGGGGTAACACATTCTTCCTATACTGTTCCTTGTACTTTATTATGCTAAACTTAAAAAATAATAATAATAATTTTCTCAATTGGAATTTTAAGAAAAATCATAGAATACCAAATACCAATATATATAAAAAAAAAGAAACAAACAAATGGTGTTGGAAGATTTCATATATTATTTGTCTGTTAACTTGAAAATGAAGGCACCAATGTTCTAAGTGCTTGCAAATAAGACACTAGATTAATATTTAATAGAACAGCATTGAATTATTCAGTTTTTGCAAAAAATCAGCAATCCCACTATTCTTGGATAGCATTTTACAAACCAAATAATCTTTGTAAAAGAAATCCTATTCAATAGTTTTGATTATATAGAACTCTAAATGTTTTCAATTAGACTTTCATCTGGTGACTGGCCAAGCTAGAAAATGATTTCAAAGCTGTTTTCTGATAACCAGAATGGCAAGGATCCTTCTCCTGCTTGAAGACAATACTTTATCTTTGGGTAGTGTGTAGCAGCCTTCTACCTAAAATATCCTGCAGCATTTAACTTCCTTTCATATAATTTACTGAGATTTTGGTTAAGGAAGTGACCCATACCAAAATGCTCTACCCACTTCAAAGTTGAAGACAGAATCAAAATGATATTTTTAACCAAATATTTTGGAAGACATTTTTCATGAGCCTTTCAGACCTATTCAAATTCAAATTTGCTTTTATAAAATAGAAATATCTTGCTTTATTACAAGAGACTAGTCTAACATTTTTGAAACTCAGGAGATTTTTAGTACACTTCCAGACACATGATAATTTTTGATAACTTTAAATTCCTTGGGGAATTTATAGATAGATAGATAGATAGATAGATAGATAGAGTTTACTTCTTATTTCTTAAAACTTATATTTCTCTTATGCAGGTTACTTAAAACCAGAAAATATTTTTAAATTGTAAGAATTTTTTGGAGATAATAATGGTTTACTGATACAAGTCCTGCTAATTAACCCATAGCTGGGGAGAGAAGAGGCAGATTCATACCTTTCCCAAAGTTATTTGTACATAAGTGAATACAACAAACTAAACTGGAATTGGAACTTTGCTCTCTGATCTCCAATTCTGAGCTATTATCCATTACACCACCTGCACATCCAAGCTTACAGCACCTGGTATTCCCAAGCAGTCACTATTTTAGATGCTGACAAGACTCAATGTTACTTAACTTCAATGATCATACAAGAAATGGGGTTTCAATATGATATGGCTGTAAGTCTTAAATGATAGATGATTATAATCATTAGTTGCTTAAAAAAATGTTAACACATATGGTTTGGTCACTTGTTTTCTGTATTGGTATGTATTTTTTCTTTCTCTATTACAAATATTCCATACTACAACCTGAATGAATCTATGAATAGTAAATAATATTCCTGCTGTCCCTCTCAAAGCCAATGTACATATGACAATGGTGGCTATGCAGATGACATAGGTATTCATAGTTGGGATAAAAATTAAATATCTGAATGTATGAATTAGTTATAACAAATTTAATATATATAAGATAAGAAAATTGAAAGAATAGGCTGTGCTAGGGGTAATTTCATCTAACATTTCAAATTACTACAAAAATATCAAGTTATGTTCTGAATTAACCTCATCAGATCAAGATTTTCATATGGATATCATGTAATACACCAAATCTGTTCAGAAATATCTAAACTGTTAGTTGTAGGCAGCCACTCTTTCAGATCAATGATTAAAAATGGCTTTGAGCAATTGAGGAATGTAGGTTTTAGAGAGGATAATACTTTTTTGAATCTTGTGGACTGGCACTACAAAATCGCAAACTAAAAACTATAACAAATAGTAGAAACTACATCAGTTGAGGACTTTCAACAACAGCAATAACTAAAATGAATATCACATGTAACTCAAACAGAAAATAATAACATAATGAAGATGTTAATATTCTGTACTATTTTAAACAAGGTTAAGAAGGAAGCCACTATCAATACTGGAAAGAAAGATAACAGCTGTCAGGTTTGAGAAATGTTCCTGAAAAACTGGTTTTAGAGAAAGATTTTATAAATTTTATATTATGCCTGTAAAACTAAAATTAATAGCTGTACACAAAGACTCACTCACGAATAGATACAATAAGGGAATCAATGTAATTTTTCAATAATGTGAAATATACTTTCTTCATTCTCACCTAATTCAATATTACTTTTCTTTTTGAGTTGTTTTAAATTGTATCCTTTGGTATTTGCTTCTTTTTATCCAGATTGCATGAGTAATTTTGTTTCATTTTCAATCCAGATGCTCCTAACCTGATTATTATGATCACTGATGGACAATCTAATATTAATCATGAGGAAACTTTGCCACAAGCTCAAATGCTGAAAGATAGTGGTGTAACTATCTTGACTGTGGCTATTGGCTTTACCACACATACTGATGAACTTATTGGTATGACATCTAAACCAGTTCAAGAAAATCTTTTCTATGTTGACCGTTTCAGTGGACTTGAAGACTTGCATACTAAAATTGTGGAACCCATTTGCAAAGGTAATTTCATTTCATTTAATCTGTCAATGTTTTTTGCTTGCTGTTCTAATTTAAATACTTTGCACTAAACAAATAATAATCCTGACAAAATGTAAAAAGCAAAACAAAGCAAACTTAAAATTAAATATATGACTTTACTTCTGGCCTTAAAGTTTGTTCTTTGCCATTTCTCTTATTATTAGTTATTTATAAATGAGATAAAACCTTTTTCTTATTATGAGAGAAAACAAAATAATGTCTTTTTTCTATTTTTTTTTAATAGTGATTTTATGCAGTGAAGTTATACAAGTTTGGAATTGAGTCAAAGCTCATTTGCCATAAAGCAATTTGGGAAACCAATAATGAAATTCAAAACAAGATTTATTCACAAACTTTAAAATTTAAAAAATGAACATAGCTACTTAAATATATCAAAGTCAGGATTAAGGGAATCAGTGAATAGAATAATATTAAAATGCTGCTTTTCATCACTATACCTGGATACATTCTAAATTTCTGAAGGTTTCTTGCTTGTTTTTTCTTTCAGACCGAAATCACTGTGAAAACAACCCTTGTAAAAATGGTGCTGAATGTTATGACACTCTGCGTGATTATATTTGCATATGTGCTGAAGGATATTTTGGCCCTGACTGTGAGAAAAGTAAGCCTAAATAATTCATTTGAATTCAGTTGGAACACTTTGAGGATTTTGCTCCATAAAATATGTTTTTATTTCATATATCTATGCACATCAAAATCCATTATTAAAAAGCAAAAAAAAGTCTTTAATCCATTGCATCAGAAAAAAAATTTAAAGTACAAACTGGCAACATTAATAATTACTTTTTATTATTTCAATTAGAGGAGTAGAAATTTAAATACTTTATTTAAACTTTTAGTGTTCTACTTCAATTTAATAATATTTGTGATCTAACTAATTCTATTGGTTAAAAAAGATTCCAATACATTTCCTACATAACAGTACTGTAATTGACAAAATCTGTATAAAATGTGGATCACAGAGCCTTGATATTTCTCTAACTCCAGATCAGAAATTCAACTTCTAACAGTGAGCTTTGCAGCCTCAAACAATTCTCCAAACAAATACATGTCATTCAAATCTTTGAAGTTTCTAAGTTAGATTTCCTAACATAATCCCAAACTTCAAATTCACTCACTCACCAACAAACTACACTTCAATTTTAGCATCTACGATTTTTATCAAGACAACAAGAATTCTACTCAAAGAACATACAGTTTGCCAAACAAACATTTTATTCAAAAAGCAACTTTGAACATTTCTTTCATCAATTCTAAACTTATTTCATGAACTGAAATCTTTTTTGTGAGTTCAGATAAAAATATTTTCTCTTAAAATGTTTAAAGAATTTGAAGTGAATAACTCCTGCTATATTGTTAATTATAAATGCTGCATACACTTTGTAACAATTTGCAACTCAGTTTAAGTTACCTGAGTAAATTCATTCTTTAGTTTTGTATACAGTGTAACCCGGATATAAGAGAGATTTTCTCTGGTCCCAAAGTGTTCCCATACTTACCTAAACAAAATAGACCAGACCCGGATATAAGAGAAACCCGGATATAAGAGACTTCTTCTCCGGTCCCGACAACTCTCTTATATCCAGGTTACACTGTATTGTTGATATAAAAATATTTTGTAGAAACCAGAAAAACATATCATTGTTTTATATTTGGGATTTGATAGCCTTGTGCCATACTCAAAGTTAAATGTTTGTGGAGAAGTTTATTTTCACACAAATAATACCTTCTGATATATACATATTTTTCCTAATAATCTACTCCTCCACAACAAACTCATTCAATTTTTCTTATTTGGGATAAAAGGAAGATAACTCCATTGTTTTTGTTGGTGATTGATAATACCATCTCCAGCATCGAAGGTAAAGTTGTTTTTGAGTAAGATAAGCTTCATTATAGCAAAACACCACAACTATGTTGTGCCCTCTGAAGATTGAATTTTCTACTAATGTTCTAGAAATCCAGCTTGCTGACTATTACACTAAGTTGAGGTGTTCACATAATGTGTAAAGTTGGTAAAGCTGTAAATGAATGCTTAACTGTTAAAAATAACCAGATGTTTAATGACAGACTGGATATATTCTCTCATGTAATATTAACTGTTTGTTATATGCTATAGTTTTAAATTGTCAATAATATCCTGTAGCTGTATTCTAGTTTCAAGAATCAAGGTCCACACTTCCTCAACAAATATATTTCTCAAAGGGAGAAATAGACAAAATACATTTCTAAGAAATATACAAAGAAAGAAAACAGTTTTCAAAAAGAAACAATAACAATTTGTAACTCAAAGAAATAATAAAGAGACACATAGTGTCTTATAGGAGAATTTCAGATTTAGTAGGGAGCAGATATTTACCTTGCTGCCTTGTAGATCAGCAGTAGATAAATGAAAGAAACATGTGTAGCTTCCTTAACCATGAAGAATCACATGGTTGCAGAAAGTTATAGCTAAACACCTATGTATATATGTGATAAATGTATATTTTCAGATTTTATGGAACATTAAAAATTATCCTCCTAATTTTAATACTATTATTAATACTACTATTGATGTTAGCATACAACTATTAAGTAGTAAAATCTCTAAGCCTGGTCACACATATACTTGGCCCTTTGGTGACTGTTACATATCTCTTATTTTTTTCTGTCTTTTCCTATTTATTTTACATGTTTTGATCAATATTGTCAATTTTTATTTATACATGATTTTCTTATGTTATGCATTGCAATTTTTTTGATGATGTAGCAAATTAAAATAAAATACTGATAAATTAATGTAAAACTATTTTATCTCTTGCAGCCTGTCCTCAGCCAGCTGATATTGCCTTCGTCTTTGACACTTCATCTTCTGTTGGAATTAATGCATTCAACCAAATGAAATCATTTGTTGAGAATCTAATACGAGATCTTGAAGCTGACAAATGTGATCACCACATTGCTGTGATGAAATACAGTTCTCGTTCCATTGTTGAATTTAGTCTAAACCGTTATAATAACCCAGAATCAATGATCAGAGCTATCAATGGCATGTCTTATACCAGAGGACATGCTAATATGGCCAATGCTATGAAAGCTCTCCGACAGCGGATTTTCAATGGACAAAATGGAGACCGTCCCACTGTAAGCATTTTTTTCCAAAGCTAATTTTTGTTAAGATCAACTCATATCCTAAACAAATCTACAAATAAGAGACAATATTCTTGCTTCCCCTCTCAAGGTAAGTTTGTAGATGGTTAGTGGAGTTGGGGCTATGCAGATGACATGGGTATTCATAGTCAGAAGAAGAAGAATCTTGAACAGAAAACCAATCTCCGCTCTCAAGTGCTCCAAGAAATAGAACTCAAGACAAACCTTTCCAAAACAGAAACTATGATGGGTAATTGGAATGAAAAGAATAACTGCATCTACCCTAAATCCCTCATAGAAATTCAGGATGTAGAGTTTGTAAATCCTACAGTTCAAATACCTCAGAGTATGGATAAATTTTTTTGTTTATATTTAATCATTTCACACCAAGGAGATTACAAGGAGTGAAAGTGTAGAGAAAACTGAGAATAGGGAGGATTGAGGAAAGCACAAAAGATGAATGGGATTCAAGAAGACATTAGTGAGAAAGTGACTGAAGTTGAGATGCCTGGTTAGGATAAATTATATTACAGATCCTTCTTTGGATTTTGTCAAGAATTTCAAATTGCACAGTAGAAGCACCAGACCAGATATGGGAACAGTATTCAATACATGGATGAATGGTAGATTTGTCAATGTGCAAGGTGGATTCTGATGAGAAAAATTTTCTTGCATGAGACAGTGACCCAAATTTCCTTGCAGTAGATGCAGCTATTGATTTGATTTAGTCACTCTCCTTCAAGTCCGTGGAAAATGTGGAGCCAGGGAGGTGCAGCGTGTTGCTCTTCTGTAGTCTAGCATCAGATGATGGCAGGCAGAAAATGTTCTCTGTGGTGATTAAATGAAAGTTTTGTTTTGGAGATATTCAAATTTACAAGCTATTTCATTCCCCAGTTAACTGCTGATTGGAAGTCCTTTTCAAGAGAAGCTGTCAGGTTTACTTTGTAATATATGATGGATTTGCTATTGTGACAGGAGTAAATGATCGTGTCATCTACATAAATACCTGGTTGGGAACTGTTGACTTTGGGTTGGTTATTGATGAAACAGCGTAGGGCCCAGGATAGAGCCTTGAAGGACACCCATGTTCATGTGAAAGGATCTGGAAGTGAACCAATTGAAAACAACATTCATTTCATGATTTGATATGAATGTTTGTATTAACTCAAACATTTGTCCTATGACACCATAGCCCTGGAGCTTGTGTAGAAGGCCAGCATTCCAAACCCTGTTGAATGCTTTGAGATATCTAAAGCCACAGCTCGAGCTTCACTGTTACAGAGGGGAAAATTAGGTATGGGTGCTCCAGACAAGTCGAGTGTGGAATTGTAGTAGAACTTCCGAGCCAAGAACTCAACCTTATCTGTAGATATCAGGACTTCAAATTGATTGAAGAGAGGTGGGACTGAAGATTTGTTATTGTTCAGCACACTCTTGCAGAGCCACCAATAATTTCTAGAAACAAACTTGTGAGAGGCTATATGTTGTTTCATTCTATCAGCAAACAGTGACTTTGCTTCTTTGATGACATGCTTGCACTTATTATGAGCAAAGACAAAGAGACATCCATTGCAATCAGACCGGTTACTCTGGTACAACCAGAAGAAGTGACTCCTGTGGGATAATGCAGATGAGAACCAAGGAATTAGTTATGATTTAACTTTTTATTGCTGCATTGGAATGAAAACTTTGATGCCAGCTTTCACCCAGCATGAGATGTAAGAGGCACATTTTTGAACAGCATGATGAAAAACTTCATTCTAAAGGATGTTGCGAAGGAAATCACAGAATGAATCCCAATTAGCATGTTGATAACAGAAAAATATTCTGTTGGTAGGAGGTTCTTGATAGATGATAGAGCGAAAAGAGATGTTTACAGACACTAATGCATGATCAGAGTTGCCAAGAGGGTAGAGTTGCAGAGTATGACATGAGTCATAGGTAGAGGTAAAGAAGAAAAGCATGTCCAACAGGATTACTGAGGAAACATGCAAGAGAAGTCCACCACTTACATGAGAGATTGAGTAATTCAGGGTTTGGATACCAGTGAGTTCAGTGGAAGAGTGATTAAGCCACCTGGAATGGTAGGCATTGAAGCCACCAAATACAAAGATATTAGCAAATGGGTGTAGAGAGATATTTATATTATCAGAAATATAATCTAGCACAAAACAGAGAGGAAGGGGAGCAGTAGAAAAAGAAAAGATAGTTGACTGAGTTTAGTAGAGAAAGGCACATGTAAGAATGGTCTGTAGACTCAAGAGAGTATTAGGTTAGGAAAAGGCCAAGAATAGTAGTAACTGTCAGTCATCTAAAGTAACCTGTGTGGGCTGGAAATTGGCACAAACTGTAGTATAATGTGACCTTGAGGTGGCTCACTGGAGGTGTTTGCAGGGATACTTTTCTACGTGCAACAGAGTACTGCAAGAGCCCCAATATTTTGAGACTGTTAATCAGAGCAGCTTCTCTAGAGGCTATGCAAGAGTTTGGGCTTCTAACTACCAGTTGGGAAGCAGCTAACCAGAAAACTGCCAACTCAGTATGAAGAGACATATCCACCATTCACACATATCAACAAAAATTCATGACACCACCACTATTAAGGCCTCAGAAGAAGAAAGAAACCAGGAACCCCTTCCTAAATTGGAAACAAGGGATGAAGAGGGGGAGGAGTGTATATTATAAAAAGAAGTACTATTTGCTCCTATTAAAAGAAAAAGTAAAAGTTGAGATATCCATTAGAAATTCAAACAAGATTTAAAAATGGCATATACCTCTGAGGCACTGAACATATATATCCTGGGTTTGTCTTCCCAGTTATGTTAAATTTTTGAAAATTAATTCAATTAGCTTATTTGGAGAGTCTATCATTAGCCCATAGGACATTTTTAACCATGCTATGGCCAATCTATTTCTTTCTTTCAGACATCCTAGTTTATTTTGGGACTTTTGGTAATAACAAATTTAGGATAGAAGATAAGGAAATTGAACATAGAATTATCTGTGCTAGGGGTAATTTCTCCAAACATTGCAAATTACTGTAAAACCAAAATATTTTTTTCCAAAGTTAATTTTTGATAAGATTAGCATATATTTAAAATTAACATGAACTATTTAACAACTTTTTTCAACAGATAAAATCAGAAGCAAATCATTGTCCCGGTTAGTCTTCATTTCTTTTGTCTTACTGTATAGCATTGCACAAGGATTATCACTTTATGACTCCGGGTATTATTTGTCCTGCAAATAATAATTTGCAGAATCATATGAGTTCAGGTAGAAAAGACACAAGGCATGGAATTTAAACAAATAACGATGTATAACTGTGTTAACAAAAGATGTTTACAAAAACGTAAGGAAAGAAATGAACTACATTGTTGACAGTTCACGACCATCTTCACATGATATCTCTGAAGTACTTATATGCTGTGTGTCTTATGGGAGCAAGAGAAAAGCATGTGTTGTTGTGCCAAAGTCAAAGGGAAAAGAGAGCAAGCTGTTCAAAAATCATGCTGCCTATAAATTTAGTTAGGGGTGGTAATCCAACAATAGAAACAAAATAGTATATCATAAACGGATTAGTATCTGTCAATGAAATTGTTTTATCCAGATTAAGTATGGGAAGAAAATAAATTCTAATACAAAGTGATTAGAGTGTTTGGAAAATAATAAAAACTTGATTGTGATAGTAGTTTTGTAGAGACTAAAAACTTTTAATCATTTTATTATTTATTAAACAGATTTATTTAACATATATATGTGTGGGCATGTATATGTGTACATGTATGTACAAGTATACAAAAAACATGTACATGTCTAGGTGGGTATGTATGTATGTACCCATATATGCAAGTGTGTGTGTGTATATATATATATATATATATATATATATATATATATATATATATAAACACTCTCTGGTGGACTGATTTAAAATCTAATAACATCAAATGCCTCTGATATAGATCAAACAAACAGGTGGGCAGACTCTCTTGAGTCTGGACACTGGTTACTACTTATCCTCAGATACAAGTCTTGCCTTTCTTACATTCTTACCTGAGGAAGCCAAAGAGAGCAGATCTCCCAAAGAATTTTAGAAGTATGAAATAAATTGACCCTTTCATTTTCTTATTTTTCAGGTAAAGAATATTGCCTATCTGCTGACTGATGGTCAAGTGGATATTGCTAAAGAAGAAACTCTCAGTCAAGCTGAACTGACCATCTCCTCAGGAATCCATGTGGTACCAATTGGTTTTGATTTACGTAACAGAGAGGAAGTTGATTCCATTGCAGCATCACAGGGTATCAAATCTGTAGAGATCCTCTCTGCTTCTGATGTTGGAAGCCTCAGTGAATCTCTACTCTATGCTGTATTTGACTGTGAGTAATTTGCACAGATTTCTTTCTTTTTCATTTAATATTTCATAGGAGTATAATTGATTCATTGGGTTATTAAATCTTCGCTCCAACATAAACAAATTGTATGCCACAGGCAACATTAATATCTCTCCAAGCTTATCTGATTCTGTAGCGGAAACAAGATGCAGACAAAGCTACCTACTACTACTGATAACAATACTTGTCACCATTCATCAAAAAGACAATGTTTAGTGTACAGCCTCAGTAAAAGGAAAGCAAATGGATGCCCTGCTTGAACAAATCCTATGTGAACCCTGGGACATATGGGTATGAAGAAATTATTTACCAGCTTCTCCATAAAATAGTCAGGACAGTGAGCTGAGCAGTGTTAGTTATGCAAATGATTTGTTTTACTAGCCAATTACTAATGTTTTGGGCTCTATAAAAGCAGGCACATTTTCTAAGAAGAAGCAAGTTGGCAAAGTGCTGTTCTGAGCATCTGACATGATTGCTGTGTGTTACTGAGTTTTTCTGTGTTAAAGTAGGTGTGTTACCCAGTGTTGCCTGGAATTTGTTCATCCTTTCTTGTGCTTCCAGTGTGTCTGCTATGTTCCAGTAAGAAGAAAATCCTCTAGATTCAACATTAGCAAAGACTCAAATTTTTATCACTTTGATGGTTACTTTAACAGTAAAAAAATTATTGTAATGAAACTATTTAAAGCAATTATTGAGTACAGTACTTGAAAGTAAAGTTTTATATGAGAGACTTAGAATAATACTACTGAATAATAGGATAATATAACTTAAATTTTGGGATGTGGGATTGGTTGATTGTTTTGTTTTTGTTTTTAGCTTATCCCGACAGTGCCATATAATGGGATCATTGCTTCAAGCAGATATTATCAAGCAGTCACTTCTTTGACAATTTGACTATGATGAGATTTGTACCCTGGTCTCATGGTCAGGATGTTAATGTGTTAACAACTTGACCGTGCATGCTTGTCTCAGAATACAAATACATTAAGTCATGTTCAATGACCTGTAGATGAAAAATGATGATTTTAGATCATCAATAACTTTTTTAGATAATGTTAAATAATGAAGTTGTTGTTACAAAAGAACTTGGATTTTAAAATCTAAAACTAATTTTACAAAACACATTATGTTAATTTTTCTTTGTACGGCAATAATTGTTTGTAATTAAAATATTTATTTACTTTTCAGCTGAGGATCGCTGCAATCCTAATCCTTGCTCCAATGGAGCTACCTGCATTAATCAGGCTCTTAGTTTCAGGTGTGAATGTATCCTTGGCTATTCAGGAGAAACTTGTGAAAAACGTGAGTAGACTGTTTCTGTTATACAATTTTTTTTAATTAAAATCATAATTTCTGCAGCTGATTAAAACTGAAAGTCAGTCATAAAATGCTTTTGAAATGGCTACTTTTTATGCAATATCAACAGAATCATTTAAATTTCTTGAGGATAGATTTTAAAAAATTATTATTTAACATATTTAACAACATTGTATCTGTTATGTTTTGTGTATCTCTCTTTGCATAGTAGTAGTCGTAGTACACTTCTCCATGTCCAGAACAGAAACCGGGTTTGCTAGACATAGCCTTCCTATGTTTGCCAGTTGTTCTCTCTTTATATTTATCTATCTAATTTGCATACAATACTACAGTATCCTTACTAACCAGAACAAAAATTCTGTTTTGGGAGAAACATTTAAAAGATGCACATTATAATCTTGTAAATATGCAAACTTTCTGTTTTAAATTAAAATCTTTTGAAAATAAATTTTTTAGCATTATAATAATTGGGAGATAAAAGCAGTTTCCAAATTAAAAATGGTTGAAGAGAGTTATATATTTTCTTATATGTGGTAAGAAGGAAAGAAAATAAAAATAAAAAGAAGACAACATTTTCTTGTTTACTTCAGTTTTCTTGCTTGGAAATCAATAGAAAATATTATTTTTCATTTTGATATATACTTCAGTCTCTTGTTACCAAACACAGATCCAAATTACATTATTTCTTTTGGAGAAGAACCATTTTGAAGAATTAAATTTCAAAATCTCTCTTTATATTTAGAAACCTTCTTCAAAGTCATAGTCTTCTGCTTGTTATTCAAAGCTTGCAAAATAAGCAAGCAAATCAATTGATAAATAAGTGCTCAAAGTTTTAACATTTAAATGAAATGAAAACTTTTGAAATTTATCTTCTCATTTTGTGTTATTCTTTTCTATTCAAAATCTCATTTTTTCCATGTGTAGACTAATATCTGTGTTCATTAATGATAATATAAATAATCTTTTATTTTAAGCAAGTTTCATCATGTTGAAGCTTAAATAAGCATGGAATAATACAACACAAAATGTACGTTAACAAAATGTATTGAAACAAAGAATAGGTACACAATATTTACAGTTAGTTTGGTATATTCTTGGGAAGACTGTTCCTGCATAATGGGTTGACTAAATCGCAGTCGGGCAGAGTCTCTGGATTCAATCTCTTAATCTCTACTATCTTCCCCGTCTTCCGGTACCAACCCATATTTATATGGTCGGTAGTCCGCTTATGTAAATTAGGTGTATCATACACAACACATCATAAATAAAAGAAACCGGACTTAAATCACAGCACTATTCATCTTTTGTCTTGAAATAATATTTTAGTGCATTATACACTGGTGGATATGATTTGTAACTATATGCAGTTGTATATGATTTGTAAAACTTTCAGTTTACTTGTTTTGAACAAAAGTTATTTATTTATTAAATGAGAAAGTAACAGCTGAAAGTGAGATAAAATTGTTAAATGTAAGAAAATAACAAAAAAATCTCTTGTCTGGATTTTATTTCTTCACTGAATAACTTCTAGAAAAATACCCTTTTCAAAATTTCTTTATATAGAAGTTCCCCTTTTTTTATGATTTTTGAAATAATAAAGTTATATGACTCAAAAGTCTGAGACTGATTCAGTTATTTTTATATTTATTTCAGGATGTGAATCAGAAGCAGATGTTGTGTTTGTTGTTGACACATCCCGCTACATTCCTCAAAGATTGTTGAAGCAAGTGAAACGTATGTTGCGCAGAACGATCAAACGTTTGTCTTTCAAGAGCAAGAACATGAGGGTTGGCCTTGTTTCATTTGATGAACAAGCAAGAGTCAGACTGTATTTGGGTAACGGAGATAGAAAACGCAATGTCCTTGCAGCCATTTCATCTTTAAGGTGCAGACCAGAATCTTAACATATATTTTCCTCTTTAAACTAATAAAATTAATATTTGCATATTCTTAAACTAAATTGTTAATGTTATTAATGTTATTCATTATTCATAAAGGAAATGTAAACTATATTTTCATATTCACAGGAGATTGTCAATAAATTTAGATCAACATTTTTTACCTCTAGGAGAAAATTATAGAATATACATATTCTTCAGTGTTTGTAAAACCCTGTAGACTCCCTGTAGGGGTACAGGTTCACCATGCTAGTTGTTGCTGCTGTGGTTTCCATACCAAGTATGTTTTATGGGATGGTGTTGCTCCCCCATATCCCAACTAGATTTGAATTCATTGTCCTTCTCTTGATTTCTGACCAAAATTTAAGACCCCAGTTTTCTCTTCTGTTAACTTAAAGCTGGTGAGAGAACAGATGAATACATACCTTTTCCAAGATTATTTGTGTGAAAACAAACACAACAGCCTCAGCTGGAATTTAAACTTGACACACCAATCCAACTTTTGGAAGATAACTGATTTGCTATACATCTTGTAAGTGCCATATCTCTTCAGCATGGCACAACTTCCTATCCTTTGTAGATCTTAGCAGCATATGTCTTTTTACTATCCTTTTCATTCCCTGTTCTGTCATCCATTTTCACAAACTCATTAAGTAGGTTACTCAAAGTTTCTATCTTGCCTTCAATATATCCTGAGTGTCAAATTTTCTAACCCTTCTTTTCTCATTATGTGTCAGAAATTTCAACTGTCTTTTTCTGATTTTAAGTATAAGTGCCCTTTTTGTTTCTATTTTCATTAAAACTTCCTCATTAGTTCCATGCTCCGTCCATGGTATTCTCAGTATCCTTCTGTAGAATCACATCTTTGTTGCCTCAAGTCTCTTCTTCATCTCTAATGAAATTGTCCAGCATTCACTGTTATATAGGAGATTACATATTCCATTGCAGTTCAACAATATTTTCTTTGTTTTTGACATTTCCCTGTTTTTTAATACTTTACACACACACACACACACACACACACACACACACACACACACACACAGACACACGAACAGTTTAATTAAAAGTTGATAAGGGATTAATTCAAAAGTGAATTAAAAGTAAATAAAAATATAAAGGTTAAATTAGTAAAGTTTAAAAAAATAAAGATTTCATTAACCCACATGTAGTTTCTATTTTAAATTACTTTTTTTCTGTTAACCACTTACTTGAATTTGTTTAATTTTATTTTATCTTAGGCCAGGCCAAACTAATCCAAACCCAGGAAATGCTCTACGTCTTGCAAACCAGCGCCTGTTTGATTCTAGTAATGGTGACCGCAGGGATGTACCTAACTACGTTGTCCTTGTCACAAAGAGTGCACGTGATTTAGATAGTATGGTTGCTCAAGCATATCACCTCAAAATGAAAGGAACCAGAATCATTGCCATTGGTGAGTCTTTTTATAAGAATTTTTAATCTACATTTAAGTAAGGAAAACTCTTATGACTGCTCACATCTATTTTTTACTACTCTTGCTAATCAGCATTTTATGTTAGAACTCTAAAAGACATTTTTTAAGTAAGTGTGTGTACATACACCGACATTGATATCTGTACAAATGCATATTTAGATACACACAGAGATATTATACGTACATGCAACAATCTTTCTTTTATACATGTTTCATTGAATGCAACAAACAAGGAAAAGGGATAAGAGTATAGAAACTGTCTGTAGTATTTATTCTAAACACTTTTAGTCCTCATAAAAGAAAAACTATAAAGACTCTGGGAAAACTGAATAAACAATTATAAAAATTACCTTTTCTGTTATATTCTATGAAACATTATATGTATATATATATATATATATATATATATATATATATATATAAAAGTTAACATAAGTCAACACTTAGAGGCGACAGTCTGTTTCATGCTATATGCAATTGTCAGGCCTGATGATTGCATATAGCATGAAACAGACTGTTACTTCTAAGTGTTGACTTCTATGTTCTTTTTATATATATATATATATATATATATATGATAATAATAAGGTTTAAAGATATGCTATATTTTGGGGTAAAAGTGTTCATTAATGAGAATAGAGTGTACATAAATATAAAAGTGGCCACTGAGGTAAACACTGAATGGCCTGTTCAAGTATGTAACAGACTGTCACTGCTCTGTGTTGAATTTGGTATATATATTATATATATATATATATATATATATATACAGTTTAGCTATTTGCTAAGCTTACCTATAAATATATTTTTGCATTATAGAAAAATAAATGATTGTAAATGTAAACATAATTTTAAAGTTCGATGATATTATTTGGTTGTACTTTAATATGAGTCTCTGTACATTTTATTTAATATATTTTCAACATCTGATCATTGAAATAATTCAAATACATTCTAACCTGTAATTGTTATGTATGCATGTATACAGATTATGTATGAAATTTTTATAGTAACTATATGAAATTATATAGTTATTAAAATATATCATTTTTATACATATGAGCTTAATATTTTAAAACTAAAATATAAATTTAAGAAAGCTTTTTGAAAAACAAGAAAATGAAGAAGGCTTGTTTAGGTAACTTTCCTGATAAAAGTATCATTATTGTGGCTGGATTGAATATATATGAGAGAAATAAACCAACCAGTTAAATTTATATTTTAATGCCATTTTGAATATTATGCTTTTTTGTTGCAGCTCTTACGGGTACCACAGCATCAACTGCAGTTGATCTCAGTGAGATTGTTTCCTTGCCAGTAGAAAAGAACAAATACATCATTCCCAATAACACTGAAGATCATGAAATCTTTGACATCATTGAGAATCTTGTAGAAGTAGTTTGCTATGGTAGGTGAATTTTTGCATTTGTCCAATAGAATGATAAGTTTGGCTATTTGAACTCCTTTCTCCAGTCACACTTCTTAAACCAAACCAGTTGTTTCTATTAATCTTCCAGGAATGAATTTACATGGATTTACTCAAACTTGGTGCCAGAATATATTTGCAAATCACCTGGTGATGATCATACTCCTATTAATCCTACCAGTCCTTAAAAGATCTCAGTTGTTAAATCCCTGGAGTCCTAACTGAATTGTTGAAAAATCTGAACATGTTATGTGGATTTTTCTCAGCTGTTGAAAATCATGTATTACAAGTTCATTTTATATGAAAGTAAATGATTCTAAATTTAGTGTTACTGCTTATGGGATGGTGTTTTAGAAATCAACAACTTTGTAAAAATTGTAGCTTTTTGGAACTAGAAGTTCCAAAAAGCTACAATGATAAGTCTTAATTCTGTGTATTGAAATACAGTGCTACCCAATTGCACACACATTCAGGCTCAAACCATAAACATTTGAAACTTGTGGGTGCATTTGGTTGCTTCTGACAAAGATTAAAGCTATTGTGAAAACAGCATGCTTTTCAGAAGTGAATATTCAAATTAGCTTGACTTCTGTTCCATTTTCTCACTTGACCCTTTTTTTTACATCCTTCATTATAATCCAATACATTTTTTATCTTTAATTATCCTTAGCTTTGTTTTTTTTCTTTATGTTTTTATCAGTCAGCTTTCTTTAGCTGAATTAAGTAAATAGTTTCAAACAATATTATTTATTTATAATAACAATGAGGATGTAGCTTACAGTTTTGTCTTTGTTGAAGAAAAAATATTTCATATGAAATGTTTTTTTATATTTGATTTTTAAATAGAAAAAGGAGTAAATGTAAAAAAAATAAGTGTTGATGTTATAAACAAATAAGATTATATAAGACCTTTTGTATGATGTCATATTAATTTCACTAAGCAAAAATAATCACAAAGATAAGGACAATAGTCCCCAAAATAATTGAATTCTAATGATAATTCATCTCAAATTTTCAGTGTAATATTGATTCTGTCTGAATTTCTGGGATGAGGAGTTATCATTATTTGCACTATCTACACTGACTATTGTCTTTATCCAAAAATGAGGACAATAGTCCATGTGTAAATAAAAACTCACTCATTATATTTTCAAATATTAACATTAAATCTCATCTGATTTATGTATTGATGTAGATAAAAAAGAATTTTTTCTTATATGAAATAAACTGAAGTCAAATATGAAACCAACATGGCAGGTTTTCAAAAATGCTTCCATTTTTTTTCACTTTTTTTAGAAAGAGCTTGCTTGTATAGTCCTTGCCACAATGGTGGAACCTGTTTGCCTGATGATGGAACCTATGTCTGTCAATGTCCTTCTGGCTATGCTGGCAGACATTGTGAGACTGGTGAGTGAATTTCTTATATCTCTTGTAATCAGTAACCTCTACACTCATTTACTGCTTTCTGTACTCCTATGTTCATTTTCACTGTTTCACTATTTTTGTACTTCATTTTCCAAATGTAACAAAGTTCATAACTTGGACTGAATCAAATTAACTGTTCATCTTATAATAGAGAATTCTCTTTTGTTATTCCTGTTTGTCTAGCAACCTTTTACTGTCAGGTAGTGTGGTCAAATATCAAATCAAAACCTAGTGTTACAGCAAAGCATTTGGATAATATAAACTTTAATAATAGTAGACATTCTGTTAGTGAGTTGTGAAGCTGCTTTCAGACCAGAGTAAATGTTCTTTTACCTTGGTGGTCAGTCTAGTATTTTATATAATAATTTTTTTTAATCCTAGAGGTAAATTTATAGCATGAATTATATATATATATATATATATATATATGGGGGGTGGAAGTCAACTTGTAACTGAGTAAGATCATCTGCACTCAAACTTTTTTAATTTTTCACACACTTTAAAAATCATCACTGATGACACCTCAATTGGCTTTTAAGACCTGCAAGAGTCTTGCAGGTCTTCCCACATAGCTAACATGTCAGTCTTCCTGCTGAAAGCTTGCCTTTCAGGATGCTGGCTGTGGAAATGTCATATGAGTCTGGTGGCTGATCAACACCCTTAATGACAGATTGTACATGTATGATCCTTGGAGATGTCATATTGTTAGTTGACATCATGATCACTCTGCATGTGGAAGACACACATAAAAATAACATATAAAATGTGTGTATTAAAAGCTCTTTTAAACATATTTAAAATAGACCATTCTTATTTACATAAGAAAAAAAACCAAGGAAGTTGCTTAAAACTTCTCAACCTAATCAAAACAAAATTCTGATGCTTGCTCATTTGCTCAGATTTTAGGAAAGGGTTAGGCCGAGTACTTTCTCTCCCCATCCTATTGTCTCTCTAGAAAAAGAACTCTGGTGTAACACCTGCAATCAGAGTTAAATGAAACATCTTATTTTTATTATTTTTAATCATATCCTTATTATCATTATTTTATCAATTATCCTAATAATTGACAAGCTGAGTAGAGTTCTTCTGTGTGTCATGTCCCTTTAGGACATGGGTGATCATGACTCTCCACAATTTCCTGTCCTTTGTAGCTCTTAATAAAGTTTGTCTTTTTGTTCTTTCTCCTAATCACTGTTCTTCCAACTATTTACACAAGATCATTAAATAGGTTATGCACTACTTTCCTCGTTGCCTTCAAAAATAAAATTTAAATGTTAAATTTTCTAAGCCTTCTTTTCTCATTATGTGCTCTAGAAATTTTAACTTTTTTTTTCTGATGCTACATGTAAGTATCCTTTTAGTTTACAATTTTTGTTTACATTTTCTCTAAAACTTGGTCATAATTCGCATATTCTGTTCTTGGTATTCTCAGCATCGTTCTGTAAGACTATGACAACTGCCACCTACCTGATTTGCTATATAGCTTATTTATTGTTTATAACTTTAAGAAGAGTCATGAACATTCATCCAAATTATTTTTGGACAGTTGAAGCATTTACCTTTTAAAGTTAGACTCTAGGAACATTAGAAAACTATTGGCAAAATGGAGGTAAAAGAAAAAGTCCAATGCAGCAGACCAGATTTGGAGAGAGAAGGTCTTACATTACCTTTCTCTGGGATGATAATGGTAATGGTGTGATTAACCATTCCCTTATAAGGAAACATTCAGTATTCATTGACCAAACAACATTACTGTTAACTGAAATTTATACAATCTTTCTCTTAAAACAGTTTTTCAAGAAAATAAGGTTCTCAACTCTTATTACTCATTCTAGTCAGCCTTGTGCCACACGTAAGATGTGCTTAGAAAATTGCCTTATTACTCGTTCTAGTATTGATGAGGGTTTCTTTCCTAATCTTTTGTTTGAAGTAGTGTGTTAAGTCAACATCTTCATTATATCATTATTTTTTATTTTTTTGTCTGCTACCCATTTTAGTTGTTGCCGTTGCTGAAAGTTTTCAAGTGATGTGGTTTCTGTTATTTGGTAAAGTTCTTTGTTTGTGATTCTGTAGTGCCAGTCTATTAGATCTTATAAAGGACAATCCTCTTCAAGATCTACAGGTACAGGGTTTATTTGCTTGAATCCATTTTTAATCATTGGTTGAAAAAAAAAAAGAAGGTGCATAAAACTGATAGTTAAGACATTTCTAAACAGCGAGATTCAAATAATTGACAAGCAACACCATTCAGGTTAGGCTTGTATAGATTTCAACATCATACAATTTTCTTTGCTTGGCAAATCAATTGTTGAGGAATTATCATATATATTTGGAATTTCCCAGACACATGAGCAGTGGTATGGTTTCATCTGTTGTTGAAATCGTTTGAGTTGTCATATTAATGACAACCTTTACAACTGTTGCTATTTTTCTGAAGAAATAAAATTCTTCTGCATTTCTTATGGATGAAAGTTAAAGAATTGATTGGCTGAATGTGTTAACAATATCAAGAACACATTCAAGAAGAGATTCAATTGCATTGAACCAAATCTGGAATAGGATTAACTTGTTCATCTTTAAGAAGCAATACAAAGTGAAAGATAAGCTTTCAAAATAAACACTTCCAGTGAATCTAAAAAAAAAAATGGATTAGTATTATGTTTCTAGTATCAATATTTATGAGGTACAGTGGTGTAATGGTTAGCAGCTTGGATTAAATAATCAGAGAGCAGAGTTTGAATTCCCGTCAGGTTTGTTACATTCATTTATGTACAAATACCGTTGGGGAAAGGGATGAATCCATCTCTTTTCCTCCCAGCTATGGATAAATAGCAGGACAGACCAAGTCTTATAGCCTTGGGTCGCAACACGTCTAAGAGAAGAACAACTCTAAATTCAAAAACTTCCAATTATGAGTTAAATATCCTCACCAACTTGCCAAGCATGGTGAGTACAGATAAATTTCTGAAGACATGGTCAATCAGGGAGTGATTACTCCAACAGAAATGAGAAGGTCATGGATTTGGATTTGAATCAATATTTAGATTCTTTTAAAGAAGTACTGCTACTTTGTAGATTTTATTTCATTTGGTTTTTATTGTTTATCAACCCTTTGTGTGTTATTTAAAGTCAAAACATGTAAGAATAATTCTTTTATTTTTGTGAGTGAATATTGTATTAACAATCTTTTAAGAATAACAATGGTTTTACCAGATAGAAGTCCAACTATTAACTCATAGTGGGGAGGTGGTAATGGATTTATATATTTCCCCAAGAATATTTGCATGTCAGTGAATGTAATGAATCTGACTTGAATTCAAACTCAGCTCTCTGATTTCTCACTCTGAGGTGCTGTTAACCATCCACACATATAGCTACTTTGAGAAACAGACTCTTGAGCAGATGCTTCTTTGATCACTACACTCTTCAGGTCTAGAATCAACCATATATAGCCTATGTTATATATATATATCCTCTGTATCCTTATAGTCTGCACTTACTTTATCCTCTTACATTCATATAACAATCTCATTCAGTAACCCCCTACCTTGAGTGGCTCTTTGTTTTGAGTGGACATTTAGTAAAAAAAAGGAAAACTTTATTGTATCTGAAACTGATTTGTGTTACCTAGCAATGCTATGAGTTCACCCCCTCCTGGACACAATGGTCTAAAAGGATCTTATATAAAACTCTAAGGGTGTAAATCAGAAAAGATAAAATAGATTTCAGTTTCCTAGCTTTAGAATTTAATGAAATGTTCTTTATGCCTTTTAAGATGCATGAGGAGAAGATGCTGTTTACTGTATAGAAATCAAGATGGTAATTATAATGAAAAATCCTTTAAAAACTAGACTGAATTATTTCTACTCACTGATTAGGTCAATATTATTGGAAGGCATAAATTATTTAAAAAGATCTTAACAACTGGAGTTGTATGTTAAGGAATTAAATGTTACAAGGGAAAAAATGTTGCTTAAAAAAAAAAAAATAAAGGATTTTATTTTTATTTTTTATCTTTAGAATTATTTTGTGGAAATATTCTTCAGAAAGGATAAACTCCAAAATTAAAAATCTTACCTTGTTCATTTACACAAGAATCTAAACTGAAAAGGAAATTCAAACACAATGTAGCTGTAAATTTGTTCGAGAAATCATGTGATAAAATCAGTCATCAGCTGGAGTTAAAATTGGAGCTATGTGTACATTTTAATGTTTTACTTTATGAAAAAAGATGAATGTGTGGTTTTTTTTAAAGACTTTAAAAAGAATTATTTAATTCTTTCCACAGCTTGCAACCAAGATGCTGATGTAATTTTCTTGTTGGATTCATCTGGAAGTGTATCTAGAGATGAGTTCCGGCAGATGAAGGAATTTGTGATATCTATCTCTGAGAAATTCTCAATCGGTTACACCAAGACAAGAATTGGAGCAGCAGCATACAGTTCCAAAGCATTCCTTGGCTTCAACTTGAATACTTTTAATTCTGCTAACAAACTTCGCAATGCCCTTTCTTCTCTTCCATACATTTATGGCAACACCAACATTGCAGCTGGCTTGCAACTGGTCAGAAACAGAATGTTACACTATAAGGCTGGAGACCGACCGCAAATACAGAACTTTGGTAAGATACACTCAGAAAATACTTTCTTTTTAATCAAGAATGAAAACTTTCTTTTTAATCTGACAAAGAAAACATGACAGACAAGCTTTGTGCTTGGCATGTGGTTTCATTTCATTCCTTCTCATAACTGGATTTTTCTTTTCCATATATTTTGTGTTTTCCCAAATTTTGTTTATTTTTGAAACAAGGAATTGTTAATAAATACATTTTGATTTATTCAAAATATTGTTCTCATCTTTGTTTATTATAGATGTTATTATCATCAATGCTTCAGTTTAGTGCCTACTAGCCATCTTCAGGTGTCCATAACTTTTGATTGATAAGGGACATATTGTATGAACTGATTATGTTATTTTTGTCCTTTGATGTGATTTCTTGTTTATCCTTATTGAACTAAAGTATATGAAATTCATTATCACTAGATAACTGCAAAACTTGACCAGTCTATATCCACTACACTGCCATACTGAAGGGCATTAGATAGTTGTATTTTTGGAGACTTGAACCCAATATCATAGTATTTTGACATTTGTTTATCTTAGTGGGTTCATGTCATATTTGATAAGTTTTTTTATTTTTGAGATGAGGAATTGTTAATATACTTTATTTATTGAAACTATTGTTCTCATCTTTAGTTTTTATAGAAGTCATTATAAACACCAGAGTGGTTAGAAAGCATGCTTTCTGATTATATGACCCTGGATTGAATCCCACCAAGGTTGATTTGTCTGGGAGGTGACTTCCTGATGTTATTGACCCTTGGAAAGTGACTGAAAATCAAACCATGGATTGGCCCTTGTCTAAAAATGGTTAGACAGAACTGTTTGGAAGTTGTTAATGGCTGTGCTGCCATTGTGACCAATGGTTTGAGTACCCTTCTTCCAATTGTTGATCATGTCAGATTATGTGCTCTCCCTCTTTCAGAAACTGTAAGGTCTGCTCAGCATAGATGCAGTATAAATTACTCTATGGGGATTGAACAAATGCAAAGGTGCTTGAGTAGGCATCTGCAACAGGGATTGGTTAACCTCTCTAGCAGATGCTGTGCTTGGAAATGAGTAGATAACCATTATTATAGACACAATATTATAGATGCACTTTGTGAAATTTAAACTACATTATTCATTGAACTTGAAATGTATGCATTTCACTTGTTTTTTTTAATATTTTAGGTTAAAATATAACTTTATTTTCTATCTATAAATGAATTGTTACTCTCAGTTTTGTCCAAAAACCTTATTTTATTTTTCAATTAGTATTGATTTTGAATTATATGAACCTATGCTATTTTCTTTCTGCTTCAGTTATTGTCCTGACGAATGGTCGATCAAACATTAACAGCATAATGACCATCCCTGAGGCAGAGAAACTTAAGAAACATGCCCATGTGTACACAATTGCCATTGGCAGCTTTGATAACTCAGAAGTTAAAGATATTGCAAGTGCACCAGCTGCTCTCAATGCTTTCACTGTTCCTGATTATGAATCTTTATTTCAAATTACAGACAGAATTGTTGGAACAATCTGCCAAAGTAAGTTTTTCTTTATTTTGTTTGCATTGAGTTAGTATGCTCTCTGCATTTTGAACTTTGCCCTCAAATGCCAAACACTTAATGCATACGAGATATGAAGGACTGAATCTCTTATTTTTAAAATAAAAATTCCCAGTAAAATTTCCTGACAATAAAATCAGAGATGAAAAAAATAGTAGCTTAATTCATAGAGGAAACATTAATTTGTGGTTCAAGCTCGTGAGCTGGATTATGTTTTGTTTTTCTATTCCAACTGCCACAAGGATCAATTTTATATCCCTTCAGTTCCATGCTCTTCAGATAAAATAAAAGATAAGAATATTTAAATGAATTTGTTTATGCTATTCATATCTAATCAAATAGTACTTGCCATTGAGTGCTTATTTTACTTGTTACTGGATATAAACTGTCCAGTCAATATACAACACAAAAATAACATGAAAAAAGCTGTAAGTGAATGTGGATTAAACTTTTTTTGTAATATTTTATATTTATCTTTTTTCTTGGCACAGTTTCTTTGTGCATTTTTTTTTTAGAAGCTCAAAAAATAAGTAAATAATAAGTAGATAATACTAAGTATTATAACCACTCTAGTTTGGGCTTAAAAAGAAAAAAAAATTATTTTAAGAATTTTAAGTTTTGTTTGGTTTTCAAAATTTCATAGTCAATCTTGCATGAGTGATTTCAGTTTGATAAATTTATAGTTGAAGATAATTGTTCAAAGGGCAGATGTTCACTTTGAATGACAGAATGTAAATTAAGAACAAATAGAATCATTATAGGTAAATGTTGTAATGGAGAAATCAGAGAGGCAAGTTTGAATTTGAGTCAAGTTTGTTACATTCACTTACAAGTAAATACCAACGGGAAAAGTAGTGGGCCCTATTGCCTTAGCAACCAGACTAGGAGAAGGAAAACTCTGAATTCAAACCACCCTAGCCTGGAGAGGGCTGGCCTCTGTCAAGCTATTTTGTCAAAGACACACAGCTGTTGCTATGGGCTGCAGTATATGTGGTATCCCTATGATCCTAATGGTTTATGTGACTCATGATCGTCATGTATTGGTAATGTGTACTTTCTTTTCTGAATAATTTAAAAATATAATGTTGAAGATGTTGTCCATACATGTATGAAAATAAGTGTTATGTTCTAAGTGATTATACTTATCATTTTCTAGCCTCCACACCATGTGATGATAACCCTTGCCAAAATGGAGGCATATGTGTACCTAGCATTACAACCTACACATGTGAGTGCATCCTGGGGTACACAGGAAAAAATTGTGAAAGACGTAAGTTATCTGTCTTTGTTTTAATTAGTACAGTTTGTACAGAAGTTAATTTTTTTTCTAGGTGAATATGGAATAGCAGCGAAAAGACTTTCTGTAAACAAGTGAGTAAAATGTGTAGGCCTCAGTGAGGAGCATCATTCATTGAAGCTCATGGACTGGTGTTACAGAATCACAAACAAAGAACTCTATCAGATAACAGGAACTACATTACTTGATGACTTTCAGCAGTAGCTTCAACTAAAATGGATAACACATGTATCCCAAAGAGAAAATAACAACATAAGATTTTGACATTCAACATTACTTCAAACAAAAGGCAAGGACAGAAAGAAGACCCCATGAATACTGAAGAGAATGATAATAGTGGACTTGAGAATTTAACGATTTTCCTGAAAAATTGTTTTAAGAGAAAGCTTTTATAAATTTCAACTGACAGCAGCACTAACTTCTAGGTCAATGAGTGCCAAATGTTTCCTTAGATGGAGATTAATATTACTGTTACCATTTACTGTTAATAAAGTAGTTGATCTTTGCTCTTGAAAAGTCTGAAAAAAAATCCATTTGTTTCTTTACCAGTTATATTATTTTAATCCTCTAAGAAGCCATGATGACTTTATTGAAGTAAATTTCAGTACTTTCCTTTCATTCATTATTCATTGGATAATTGTAACTTTGAATGATAGCCTCATCTCATGCAAGGGCATAGAAAACTGAACAATGAAAATTAGGAAAATTTATTGAAGGAATTTATTGAAAATATGTCATCTCAAATAATAACTTGTTTAATTGCAATGATGTATATAATTTAGTTTTGTTTTTTAATCCCAATTAAATATCCTCATATTGGATATTTTAACAAATATTTTATTTTTGCACTTAGTAAAAGCAGAATTTATTTCAGAATTGCCTATATTTTCTAATTTTTGTCTAGTTATAAATTTGGACTCAGTTGTAGAAAAGATATTCTTAACTAAAATGTTGCTATAACAGCAGTTTTCTGGGTTTTTTTAATGTATGGGATTTTTTAAAAGTTATTTACTTTATGAAATTTGAACTGAAAATTTTAACCACATTTTAGTAAAAGTTATAAGATTACATTCATTACAAATATTTACCAGAAATAAGGTTTCATTAACTTTAAATCTTAGAGTTAGCACACTGCTTGATCTTCCAGGAACACAATTATATTTTATTTTCTAACCATGTAAGGACAAGAGAAAACATTATTTTGGATTAAACAGTTTGTTCTTTATTTTTCTTACTGATTTCAAATAAAACAGCTTAAACCTGACAAAAGCGTTAATTTATATTAAATGACTAAATTTACCAAACTTCTTAACTGTTTTCTAGAAAGAAAAAAAAATTCATATTTATTACATGCATATATATATATATGTATATATATATATATATATATATATATATATATGTATATATATATATATATATATATATATATATATATATATGGATTTTTATACCTGTTTTATTCATAAGCATGAAGGCATAAATATTTATTTAATAAAGAAATGACTAGAAATTATTTTATCTCTTGTTATATCAATGTTGTAGAATTATATTTAGAAAGTTAGAAATGCTGTCAGAGTTACTTTTAACAAATTGAAAAAGTCTTAACAAAAAAAAAAAAAAAAAAAGAAAACTCACACCTCTCTTTCATTATCTCCTTTGGTGTAATTGCCTTTAGAATTATAATCTTTTCAAGGTTTGTTTCAGAATTCCATACAAAGACTTTACTACTTTCAGTTTGTGTATGTTAAGATTGCCTGAACTTTTAGTATTACTTAAAACACACACACACACACACATATATATATATATATATATATATATATATATAGAGAGAGAGAGAGAGAGAGATACTGTCATAATAAAATAAGCACATTCCATCTCCCCTCTTACTTGTAACCATCTACTCTAATAAAATAAATGTTTTCAGTGCTAAAGCTGAATTAATCAAATAAAGCTTGTTGCTATATTACAGATGCTTTCATAACAAAAGTTAGAATCACTATTCTACTTATTCATATATTTATGCATTAATATTTAGATAAAAAAAAGTCTTATTGAATTTTCAGAACTATCACAAATGCAAATATTTTTTAAGGAAAATAATAAATGTCCTATCATCCATTGTTTGACTAATTTTCATTAAGAGCAGTTTTCACATTTTATAATAAACCTTTAAGATAAAGAATTTCTCATGTGCAATAATGGAAAACTATCAAGCCTGTAATAATGCAATTATTCTACTGTTTTATATTCTTTCAGGTTGTGACCCTAAGAAAGACATTGCGTTTATTGTGGATTCCTCAAGCAGCATTGGAGCAGAGAATTTCAATCGTATTCTCACATTTGTCAGCAACCTGGTGGCTGATCTATCACATGAGAATAGTAATATTAGATATGCTTTGATTACATACAACACCGACGGAACTCTAGTCTTCAGGTTTGATCGTTTCTTTCATTCCAAACTAGTAAGACAGGTTATTGAACAGACCGCCTATTCACCAGGTTCTACCAACATAGCTGCTGGTTTACGCAATGCAGTTGATGTCTTCTCTGATGGCTATGGTTCCAGATCTGATGCAGATAACATTGCCATTCTCATCACAGATGGCTATTCTAATATTGATGCCCATCTCACCATCCCCACAGCTGATGCTCTTAAATCTAAAGTCAAGAAAGTGATTGGTATTGGTATTGGCCTGACCAACACAGATGAGCTAATGGCCATTGCTTCAGGAGAGAATAATGTCTTTTTGGCTACTGATTTCAATAGCTTACAGCAAATTCAGTCAGAAGTGCTGGCAAGCACTTGTGAAGGAGATGACAAAGTGGAGATGGAGCTCCCAGAAGTAATACCAGATATTGAGAAAGAACCCATTAAGATAGAAGTTGCCTAATATGGTGGCAGCAGCAGCAGTTAGGCCTCGTGTGCTCAATGCACAAGGTTTGATGAAAATGTCTTCCTTCCTATTTTGGTAGGAGGAAAAAAATAAGAGAAAGATAAACAGAAGAAAGTTCATAAAAGCAATGTCATTTGTCTGCTCAACAGATATATTTTTTTTAGAATTGATGTCATCCTTCAATTCTACTACTGTTTCTTTCAAACTGACTGGTCCACACATGAGTGGGCTGTGAAAGTTGGGTCAGACATTAGCTACAGACTTTATCTCTCGTCCGTTTTATCGTTCTGCTCTGGAGACCATCATTGGTTCATTGAATTTCTGTTTCTTATGAGGTCATTCAAATTTGGCACTGGACTAAACCCAAACAAAGAAGACATTGTACATAGACCATCATTTTTGTAAAGCTTTCAAAGGTTTTGTAGAAACATTTATAATAATAATAATAATAATAATAAGGAAGATGATTCTAGTAATAAAATATTAATAAGGATGATGAAGATGAAAAAAATCTTAAAACAGCAGTTTTGCATCACCACTGCCAATTTTATATAAAGTTTGTGTCTGGAGAAATGGAATTTTTTTTCTATGAGGAAAATAAAATAATAATTAAAACTAAAAAAACACTTTTTTTATATCATTTATCTTTAAAAGTATAAAGTAAACTTTTTTCTTTTCTTTTATTTTATATCTGAACTCTGCTATGATTCAGCATTTGAGAACAAATTTATTTTTAAATCTCCACACTCATTGTTTTCATTTTCTTTAAATGGTTAAAATATTCTTTGATTCTCTTGAAAATTTACACAAAATTAATTGTGTCTTAAAATTTTGTTGTTGTTTGCTAAACGTGTCAAAAGGTAAAGTTTTGAAGTGTTTATCTTAAGCAGTTATCTAGTGGAATTTTGATGCTTCCATACTGCAAATTGGTGAAGAAAACAGATATTGCCTGTCAAAACTGGTGAATTGCATTGTAGAATAACTGTGTAATCTCACTAACAAATATTCCTTAATGTGTAGAGGTTTTCCTCTAAAAAATCCTTTATATTAAATAATAATTCTCTTTAATGCTTTCTATAATTTTGTCTGTTTTATCAAGACAAAATAAGCTGTTAATTTCCCATGTAGTTTAAAAATTGTTGGCTACAATTTGTCAATTCACCTAAGTGATATTATTTATATACACTACCTTAAATGCAAGATAATTTGAATAGGATGTATTTGTCTGTTAAACATCTAATGGAATTGATAAATAGACAAAAATATTTCTTTACTTTTTCAGAAGTCTTTGGTAATCTGCATAGACATTTATATATGTTCCTTTCACTATCTAAATAAACTAAGATGATTTTCTAGTTAGAAATAAATAAAAAAAAAGAATAATATAAATTAATACAGAATACTTTTCTTAATATTTATATTATTTATACATGTATAAAGATATATTATGTTAATGCCAATACTCGACTGGTGTAAAAAAAATCTGGATAGTACAATTTGCAAATAAAAATATATTAAAACAAATTGATATCAGGGGAAAAAATTTTGAAAAAAAAAAAAAAGACTAAAAATATCTGAGTAGGCAAAAAAAAAAAAAAAAAAAAAAAATCGACAAATATCGTAATTTCTAGTCCAAAGAAAAAAAAAAAACCAATTGAGTAAAAAAAGAAAAGATGTAAAGTGCTCAAGATACTAAGTAGAGCAGAGTATAAAAAATCCCAATGAGCCAGAAACAACCTACCTACCTAGGTTTCACTTACATGGATCTTCAGGTTAAACTGGCTCAGAAAATCCATTTAGGTAGTTTTTGGTAGTTTCTGGCTCACTAGGATTTTGTATAAAGATATATAGAAATTTGTCTTGACTCGTTTTTAAATATTCATAGAATCTAGCCCAAATATTAAGCTACATTGTAAGACAAATGAGGATTTTAGTGATAAATTTCTGGGAAAAAAAGTGTTCCAATATTGTAAATAAACCAGCAACAAACAAATTAACTGATAATTTGGAAATGGTACATAGATTAAAAAAAGCACTATTCAGATATAAAAGTTATCTACCTTCTCTATGTTTTGATTTCTTGGTAAAACAAACTATTCAACAAAGAGAAAGTTCATTTTAATGCTTTTAGTGAAGACAGTTTTTCAAGCAAATGGAATTCACTGTTATGATTTTTTTTTGTTTTTAATCATTTCACTCCAAGTAAGGCAATAATGCCACTAAGATACAACAGGTTACTGGGAATGGAAGAGAATGAGAGTACTCTAGTAAGGAGAAACAACAATAAAGGAACAGGATTTAGGAAGAAGATGATGAGTGATGTTGCATTTAAATTTTTGAAGATTGTAGGTGATAGGAATGCAAGAAACCTGAAAAGAGGTCCACTGATGCGAAATGTTAGAAAAGAATAGAACTTATGTCTAACTATTTTCAACAGCAAAATGAAATCAGTCAGATTTTCAAGATGTTGTCATCTTGATAGCAGTATAAATTATCCATGTTATTTTATTAAGTGAAATAATAGGAACTATCATTGGACACTATTATAGTTTTGCACACCAACCACTTTCAAAAACATCATATATTTACTTCCTGTGCATTAAAATTTGCATGATGACATTTAAATTGAATAGACAGGAAACTATTACATTTTCAGTTAAGAAAATAAACCTCAACAAAGGGGTTTTCAATTTAATACATATTCAAGAAATGCATAAGAGCATTAAACAGGATATAAATCCATTGCAAAAATTATACCAAAAATGACAAAATTTTGAATCTTTGGTTCTACATGACCTCTGCAATGTAATCATTCCTGATATCATGATTTGTTGGCCTATGCAATATTTTGATTTTCATCTTTTCTATGTAACTTCTATGTGATTTGTAGTCGGGAAGTACAAAACTATAATAGTGCCCATCACTGATCCTTATTTTTGGTTGTGTAGCTGTTTCATCAGTTATGTAATATTTCCTGCTATTATATTTAAATCTGGTAACAGTTAAATATTTGGATGGCCTACTAGATTATTAGTGAGCATCTATATTAAACAAAAACGTCACTTTTCTTAGAATATTTTCATTATGTTAATTATTTGTCTTGAGATATGATAAAAAAATACAATCTTTTAAAAAGATTGATGTCTTCCCAATCATGCGGTTTGTGGACTCCCTTAGGGATAGGTTCCAAGGATTTACAAAGCTAAATTAAATCAGTTTGGTATTTTTGAGGGATAGAAAGTGAAATTGGTGAAAGAAAGTGAAATTGGAGAAGAAGAGAAAAGGAGACAGGTAAGCAGGTAGGTAAGGTTTTTCATATTTGTGTTTCTTAAGTACATCTTTTTTAAAAAAAAAAAAGGAACATTTATGCATAACCATCAATTGCCTAAATGTGAGGCAAAAACATATCCTGTATCAGTTAATGCTGGATACGTCCTTCAGCATCAAAATAACATTTTCTTCCTTTCCCTGGAGAGGCACTTGAATATACCTTGTTGATCTTTAAGCTGATTGACTGTCTCTTTGCACTTGGTGGATAAGTCTAGCTCAATACTGCCACTGAAAAAGTATGGAAGGAGTGAGGGACAAATTTATTCAACTTATTAACTTTTGAGGAAAATATAGGTCATGAAAAGATTTTCTCATGGACTGCAAAAAGATAGCCTTTGAGTTGTGTATTTGAGATCCCTGGTATAGATAAATAGCTATGAAGGACATTTGTTATAGAATATGAGTTAGCAACAGAATCTATCAGACTGTTGTAAGTAAGTTCAACTCTCAAAATAGTTGCTATTGGGAAATCATTAATGCTTCAATTATATGATACAAGCTTAAGTATTATGCATAATTGATTATAACTTTGTGAAGCTTTTCCATATCCATTGTATACTTCAAGCAGTTTTGCTATCTTATACTATTCATTTATGTATACTATATACTATCTGTTGTCATATTTGGTCTGGTGCACCTGCTGTACATCTTCAGATTCTTGACAAAATCCAAAGAAGGATTTGTAATGCATCTCAACTTCAGTCAACAATGTGACATGGCATCACTCTGTCTTTTCTACAGATATTTTCATGGCAACTGCTCTGATGAGATTTTTGACCCTCTGATACCTTGACTACATGAATTTAAGCATGCTACTAGATTGGCATCCCTTTTACTGTTGAAATATCAAAGTGCTGGAATTAACAATCAGCTTGCTGATTTCTCTTTCTGAGTGGCCAACTATTAGACTACCCACACATCACTATTCATTTTGTAAGACTTATAGAGAAATACTTAAATAAAAAACAGTAAAATATAGATTAACAAGATTATTTTAAATACAGATGACCACCATTTTGGTTTCAGAACTGTTTACAAAAATGAATTACAAGTACTGAGAGAATTTTCTAGGAAATATTATGTCTGTGTTTTATCTTCCAACAGCTGCTGATTTTATAGATCTAATTTGTATATTTTTATGCAATGTTTTCTTCCAAAAGGAATTGCAATAAAGCAAAATTAAGGTATGTAGAATACTCTTATATCAGTCCAACATTCTGAAGTTGTGAAAATAATATGCAGGAATGTAATCTTGTTAAAAATATAATATCATATGGACTAGAAAGTAAGAGATTGTTTTTATTTAGAGAATTATAAAACACTTTCCATCATTCATGATATAGAAACTAAAATTAAAAATTAATTTTTAAAATATTCAATTATTGATTTTAGCTTGATCCTGTATATACATGTTTTAACACCTTAAATATATATATTTTTAAAAAGCTTCAATTATCAAATAATTTTAGTAAATTTCTAATAATGAGACAGTTCCCTAAACTAAATTTTTATTAAAAATTTAAAAGGTGAATGCTGAAAAATTTTTCAAAGATAAAGCAACAAAGATGTTCTGCAAGCAAATGCTGAGAATACCATGGACTGAATACACAAGCAATGAAGAAGTTTTTAAGACAATATGATCTAAAGATACACTTATAGTTAAACTC